ACTATAGTTACTCAATAATTAGTATATTATTTAAAGTCAGTAAGACGTGGTAAGATCCTTAACACAGATGCAGCATTTCCTCTTTGGATCGCTATGCTGATTCGTCAAATGAAATAATTTTAACACCAACTTCACCAATAAACTGTTTGGCAGCGGCTCCCCATCCAAAAGTTTCAAAGGCAAGAGGTATGAAATCAAAAAGATTATCTGAACTAGCGCTAGGAGACGTGCTTGGTCCATTGCTGAAGGAGATGAACTGAACAACAATGGAGATTGGTAGTATTGACAACAGCATCCCATTGTGATTGGCGAAGGCCAGCTGAAGAGAGTCGAAAGGGCCGGCCTTTGTTAATGAAGTCCAATGTAATAAACCTTCATCAAGAACTGGGTCATTTGATGGTTCGATGTAGGGGGGAAGAATGGCTGAAGTTAACTCGTGCGTAAAATTGCAAGATACCTGGGAGAAAATGAGGAAAGCAGAGTGTAGTCACATCTCTGATGCCAAGGCCTCCATATATAACTGGGAAAGTTACTCGTAAGTGAGGCTTGAACGATGGAATCATAAAACTGCTGATCTTAAAAGATGAATCATTTTTGGCATTGAAAACGATACTCGAGTTAAATAAAAGTCAGTTCGGGACTACGTTTTCCACTAGCTGAAGATATTCCCTGATCATGGAGAGGGCATCCAAGCAGACTGTGTTAGTTGACTTTATCAATTTAATTCCAAGCGCAACTGATTTAAATTGCCAGAAAACTTGTGAGATGGACGTACAATCATCTTCAGCACAAAGGAGACACAATACACATTTGCTAAAATTGGGTTACAATACAAGCTCTGTAGATTTCTTAATAATGGATGTGGGATCTTCTAGAACCAGTTAAAAGCACCGTCATCTAAGTATGGCAGGATCCCCTTGTTGAACACCTCTTTGAGAAGAAAGACCCATAATAAAGATTGGGAGGAACACGGTAACATTGATTCAAAAAGTGGTAATCTTGTGGTAAAATTTTTAAAACTTTTCCCAACATTTACTTCCGATTAACAATAGTAAAAGTATTCATGAAGTCGATTTTCAGTAGGACTTTACTACATGATTATGAAAACGCGTAAAATATTAAATTTTATGAACCGTTTTGATTTATTAGGGTTAAACGCAAAACTTCATTATAAAAAGTTCCAGTGCCTTTGTACTTTATACAGAACTTGAAAACTCAAAATTTCACTCCAGGGCGTTCATGGATAGGACTTGCAACCTTTTACTAAACTTTTTTTGCTAGTTCTCTCTGTCTAAATGATCTAGGTATGTCGGGAATCAAGCAGTTGAGGAGTAGGTATACTTTAATTGTGAAACTATTATATGACTTAGTCTTAAGATTACAATTTTAGCAAGGATCTAATAAGGGTACAGACGGTAGGTGTAAATTAAAAGGCAAAATTGTAAAATCTACTCCGCGTAATAATTAGTTAGGTACATATACGAGTATCTGTTCTTGCTGCACTTTTTTGAACAAACAAATAAAACCCTTCTATATTTTAGAAAATACGCTAAAGGGATTTTTGAAATGCCAAGTGTCAATTAATTCGAGACTGTGATACAATTTTCGTCCATAATGCAGTTATGGGGCAAATCTGATAATAAAGATATTGAGGCTTTTTCGATTTCCCAAGAGCCAAACGAATACTTAGGTCCATTTTTTAGTAAACATTCTGATTATAGTTCCGGAATAAGGTTTCGACTAGCGACATATAGATAGAAAGCTGTGAACGATTTTTACTCTTCGCAACACGAAAACATTTTTATGGACCGTCCCTTACAATAATTCTAAAACTGTGATGGAGTTATATGTGGTAAACCTTATAATACAAAAATTTAAGAGAGTTTCTTTATATTTCAAGTACAAAAGGACCACTTCAGCTTCGACTATAGAGTTCGACGTAGATCCTCGGCAGTTCTGAAACTTTCCGTAATCTAATGTTCAACAAGTTAAGAGGATTTTTTAATATTTGAAACACTATTGAAAGTATTCAACAATTTTTAGTTCTGATTAGTTTCGTATAATCACTAAATTTTTGTAAATAGGGCGTTTTATGAGGAGAAACAGTGACATTTTAGTTCACGAGGTATACAAATAAGTTTTTTTAATGGATTTTTTGCTTAAAAATAATAGAAAACGTTCTTTAACCTTTGTCGTTGGGGATGGTATTTTTGGTGGAATTTTAAAGTTCTGTAGTAGGTCTCTGATGAACCTTCAGACACTGAAACTTTATATAATGAAGTTTTACGTTAACACTAAAATATAAAAATGGTTTATAATGTATATATTTCACGCGATTTTCTTAAATTTGAAGATTTGAATAAGAAATATTGTTGCGATCATTGTTTGGTAGAATTTTGGAGTAATGGCTGGAGTTTCCGATCACCTTTTATACAAGATACTCAACTATTTATTATACCTACCTAAGATTTTGCTGTAAAATCTATAGGTAGGTACCTATTTAATACATCTACATATGTAGTTAATATTATGGAAGTTTCTGCTTCAGTAGTTACGTTTGACAAGATCATTGTCTTTTCACGGAACTATTTTAATAACTAATCAGGAACAATTGATCATCTTTTCGGAACAACATCGAAGGCTGTGTGTAGTTGACCCTCCCCTTCCTATAATTTCAAAATTCAATATTAAAATTATTTTGTTTTAAGTGGTCATATAATTATAATTATTAACGCAAAGCTCGTTCATGATTTCTGTCCGTTCGTCCGTCTGTGTACGTCAATTGCAATATTCCTATAGGTATCAGAAATCGTATCAGTATCGGTGCAGAATATAGCGTGAATTACAGTTGTGATATTTATCCAATCCGTCCCACTTTATTTCGCGTATGGAATCGGGGAGGGTTGCCATATGTCACTACGTTAACTCAGATGGTGAAAAGACGAATTCTAAACACTTTCTCATTAACAAACACAACGCCAAAAACGCAACCAAAGAAAGTTAAAGGCAAAGTGCCTTGAGTTCTACGACGAGGCCCTTGCAATCATCAAGGTGTATAATTTACTGTATACTTTCGCCGATGCCATAATTAGAGTAAATTGGAGGGACCCAACGAATGTCACTATATCAATTTATTCAGTGAAATATTTCCAATTGATATGGTTATTTCAAAATTTTAACGACGACTTTCCAACGAATGGGTACTTTTAGTTCAATTACAGGTTTACGCTGACTATACAGTAATATAGGTACGTTTGATTTGAAATGAATTGTGACCTAGTAATGATGGGATTGTGTTACTTTTTCACCTATAGCAGAATAGTTTCCAATCAAAAGCTAAAGTTCTGTCTAGTGTCTATAGCTAAAGATTTTCCACTGAATATTCCCAAAAATTGTGACGAGACGCAGGGTAATAAAAATTTAGATATATTGAATTTGTTCAAGTAATTCAAAATCAGAAATAGTACCTACCTTATGAATTTTAATTACAATTAGGGCATTGCTTCTTTCAAATACACAATTGGGAATGAGTTTGTTGAATTGCAGTTACATCCACGTTATTGTCCAAACAGACAATTTTGATAAAAATTCACTCATATCTTTCTGGTCTATAGTTCACTATTTAGTTGCTATATATTTATGATATTTTAAATAATTACAGCTTGTCCAATTAATTAAAAGAAACCGGTTCGGCTTGACGGATTGTTCATTATTGAGCCAAACGATACTGACAACTGAACAGAAAACCGTTTGGTATAGTTAGTAGGAGCTTACAGAGGAAATTGTTTAATTTTGGGCCCGCCTGGTGTCTGTTAAACGCTGCCATCATCGTTTGGTATAATCTAACTCTTTTCGTATTAACACTTCGCGAAATACGTGTGCTGTGTCAAAACAAATCTCTTCTCTTGTTTTCCGATCACACTCAATTTCAACATGTGAACTTGTAATGTTAAAGATGCGAATTAGACACCTTGAATAACACTAGTCAATTCCATAAAACTATGTAAAGTAGACGGTTGACAGTATCCTGACGATGAAATTTGAAAATTCAATGCCGGATCGTTATATCAATTTTGCTTTGTATAACAGGCATTATTGATGTTAATGACAACCCATCATCATACCATGTAATCAGTGTCAATCAACAGTTCTTGTGACAGTCGAAAATTTATCCGTGCGGTAAAATATTCAGGTTGCGTGTATAATTTAGCGATTAAAGTCTATTTTAAATTTAAATACTATAATTAATTAGTAAACACTATACATTGCACTAATTTTTAAAACATGATATGTTTACATTGCGACTTTATTAAATGGATAAAGATTTCAAAAATGTTAATTGGTCGCGCTTTGGTGATTTATTGGAACCTACCTGTTTCTGTTCTTTCTTTCTTTTTCAAATGTTAACGTATTGGAAATCTGAGAGATTCATTTGCATACGTGAGAAATCACATACGGAGGACAGGTCGATATAATTTATATCTACCTACCGGGATCTGTTTTAAAATATGCAGACATTTTCATAATTGGGGATGTATTACAGTTGACATATTTTGAAACATGATCATTGGAGTATGTAAGCTTCGGTAAAATAATATACTGCGAATATGTTGTTCATGCTGGGTATATTAGCACCCAGTGTGGTAAGCAGCGGTTAAAATATATGATCTAACTTAAACGGATGGGGTTCGGAACCGCAGGAGTTGGCATCCCGCAGTATGACAAGGGCCGCCACGACATGCGATTCAATTACACGTGTACGTAGCATCTAGTATCTTTATTTCCATATAGTTTATGGCTTAGCTATGAATTTGTGCCCGGTGGTAGTTGTTGCATGTTGCATGATATATGGTCAACTATATAGTGGGTTGTGGGGTAATCAATTAAGGTTTCGGATAATCCGAAGCATTTAAATTCCCTAAGACAGCACGTGTCCAACGGCAATATCACGTGGCAGTCCCCCATGCAAATGAGCAACAAGTGGCAATGTTGCGACTTACCGGTAATAAGGAAACGCTTGGGGCATATGCAGGTCCATGGGGGCTGCAGGGTGATGCGCCGTTCCATATCCATGGTGTTCGGTAGTTTGCATCATTCCGCCGGCGGCAGCCGCGGCTGCCGCAGCGGCCGCCGAGTGATGATGGCCCAGAACTGCCGCCCAGGGCGAGGACGCAAATCCTCCCGGATGATCCAGTTCGAAGCCGCGGGACACACTCGGGTGCATGTATTAACAACCACTTCACTTCACCATAACATTTCACCCGCGGCGTGCACGTGTGACGGCGAGCACGGATACTCGGCCATTGATCGTCAGTATGCTGAATGACTGAAGAATCTACCGGAGGCGGAGTTGTAGCGTCGCGGCGTGCCCCCAAAACCACGTGATCCGACAGGCGGCATAAAGCTAGGCACTTCCCACGGCACTAGTTTGCTCTACTCCCACTCAAGGCGGCAACCACCTGCACGTCGCTTTCTGATACGTCATAACAACATTGAAGCGGTGCCGAAAGTTTACAATATATGCGCCAAGTTACACTTCACCTATCTTCTACAACCCTATATAGTGCCACGCTACCACTACGTTAGCACTCATGCGATCGATCGCGTTAAAAAAGCAAGTTCAGTGTGCAAGTGTCACCTTACACAATGAAGTTAATTTCATCTCATATTCTACAACCCCATAATTATTCCTTGACACAGGATAATTATATATACTTAGATTCAAGTCAATTTATTATATATGTTTTTCAATAATATAAGTTCTGTAAAATTTTCATGCCGTGTGTGATTTGGAACGCATAAAGAGAAAGACAGCGTCCCTTTTCCACCCCTGCAGTGTCGCTCCGTAAAGTGCTTCCTTTCTAAATGATAGACATTCATAATCATATTTTACGCATTAATAAATAGGTACCTACGATGCTAAGTGGATATAGATCGCGGCGTTAACAACCCCTCTTACACGTAATAGTCTAGGCCTCGAAGACGAGAACTGACCATTAATGCTCATTTTTGCAGTGACCTATGCAAGTAACGAATGTGCGACGAAATGTTATACATTTTCGGTTTTACTGTATACACCCACTTCCCTATGCGTATAGTTCACGCATTGCGGATCTTGGATGGAAACGCATATACTTAAGCCTCACACAGATCGCACTTGTGTAGGTATACCAATATATCGTGGGGAAGGGATACCGCCGCCTCTTCACGAATGCATGTCCCGATCGCTCGCCTGTATATGTACTAACCGAACGTTGTTGCATTTACGTATCTTAAAGTGAAACACATAGGTAATGTCTATGCTCTCTACTCATTATTCCATCGCGTTTCCACCGAACGCACAGTGGTACAGCTAAATCGCTTATCGAACCGCCTTGTCCACCGAACGGATCTTCTATACTTCGTACTTTGCGAACAACGTGGATTTCGCTTGAACTGCATTTACTTATCGTTAAAGGAAGGGGCACGTCTCTACTTCCTCTTTTACAGAACACGTCTTCGAAACTATACGGACTACATGTATATCGTGCATATGGCATACCTATGGGAAGGGATGCACACTGTCCTTACCAAAAAACTCATCTTCCATAAGTCTTTCCATACCTATACCTATGGGTACAGAAGTAAAATCACTAAAGGTGGACCTTTCCCTATTGGTGGATGTAATTCCGCCAAAGTTCCGTCTAACCAAGAAGAAGGTGAAGTATGGTTTCAATTGATGTAGGTTTCATCTAAATATCATATTTCTGGCATTTGAAACTCACATTTGAAATTGAAACCATATGGCCCTTATAGTTAGAAAATAAGTTTGAGGCGATAAACTGAATAATAATAATTACTAAATATTTTTTTTTCTAAAATGAATTTTACTGAATTAAATTTTTTTTTACAAAATGTTTGTAAAGTGCATCCAAAACAGATATGTTGCGTTATTAAAAGGACCATATGGTATACAATGATGCACGTAGGTATTGTTAAAAAAAATAATGCTGACTAATAACTACACTTAAGCTAAAACCAATTTTTCGTAGTAAACTCGCAAGAGAAAAGCATTACTTCCTTGATACACCGCATCCTCTTTCAAGGAAACTAGCAGTCGGTCTAGTGTAGGTTGTTGTTTGTGGATTGGTGATATTGTGGATGTGTCTCCTGAAAAATTCTTTGAATTTCCTTTCCTGCTTTCTGAACTTGTACCTAATACCAAGTTTTTGGTAACTCCCAAACTCCCAACGCCTTACAGCGACGTTCCAACACGCATCCTAGTGGAGAATTGCCACGCCATTCGTAGACTCGTCTTTCATAAACTGAAGCAAATTATAAAATTAACTCTCGACTTTTTGCTATCGTACACCGTGATTTTATCGCACTAGCTAATGCATCGTATACGTGAAAATAAAACCAAATTATGCTAAAAAAAAGACCTTTGTGGTAACTCACCCCGCTTGGTCACGCGAGGGTTAATAACAATCTATAGACGCTAGTCTAATAGCACTTTGTTATCATTATAAGTGACTAATGCATTGGCCGGATCTTGGCCCGGTTCTGTCTGTAGCTGCCGAAGCCAGTCTCCTGAATCGCCGATGCCATTGCGCCATTATACTCTTCTTCAGTTGATGTAGAGAGGGCCATCAGTCTGTTGTTTATAGGAATTCTAGGGTATGCAACCATTCTGAAATACGCGTGTGATTCAGTAGAACAGTTTGAATTTCCTGGAAAACAAGAAATTTTAAGGGTTGGTAATAATAGATTGTCATGTGTCTAATTCTAATAGTGATATCTAGGGGGAACCAACTTTGAATTTTCTTTAAAATGCGTTAACACTTGATCGCGAGACTCCTGATGCAGTAGCAAGTTTTCTTGTGCTTAATGTAGGCTCCATCGCAACGTGTCCCAGAACTGCTACCTCCACTGCTAAATTTTGTTCAATGTCTGCATAATTTTGATTAAACTTTGACGTACGAATGTTAAACATGCTCATCTGGGTGTTCTTTATTGAACAGAGCTGCTGTTGTGAATGCAGATTGCTTGCTTCCTTGCTTATGCGCTTATTGCACTTGATTCAGATGCTATTTTCTGTCAATTATTTCACCGCCCACTTGATAAACATTTAAGAGCCCTTTTACACGATCCGTTTTTTTATCAGACCGGTAAACTGAGGGACCGGTGAAATCACCGGGCGCAAAACGGATAACCATTTACACGTTTCCAATGAATTTGTTTTTAGATCTAGTTGAACAGTGGTAGTAAGCAGTTGGGTGCATCCATAAATAAATTTTATGGTTATGTATCAAATTTCATTTAAATAGTGATTTGGAGTGTCTATCTGGTCCAATTAACATACATGAGGAGGTGATCATAAACTACCAATTCAAAGATCTGCAAAGAATTGCGGTTCACTCGACAAATATCAAAAACATTTATTCTACTTTATATGAATCGTGAATTAACTGCTTAAATCAAGTGTACAACACAAGTGAACGACTGCAGCAAATTGCATATAAATTTCCTACCGGAGCAAAGTAATACGGACAAGTGTGAACGAGTCCATAAGCCTTCATGTGTTTCTAATAGCCATCCGTTTTTTTCACCGGTCCGGTGACGGATCGAGTAGAAACCCATTCGTTGCTGCGCCGATACCGGACCGATTTTTTAACGGACGTTGATACGTGTGAATGCTCAAATACAACTTAGTGTGTTTCTACAGTATCCGGTAATTTCACCGGTCCGTCAGTTTACCGGTCCGTTAAAAAACGGATCGTGTGAAAGGAGCTTTACAAATCGATTTAAATTGAGTAGTACTGATCGGATTTGCAAAATAAAAACAGTGCTGAGAACAGAATGAACATCCCTTTCCAACTATATCTAAAGCTGCACATCCATTATCCGAACCGAACGTGTAATGTAACTAATTCGTGTAGTTGAGACGGCACCTCGAGCACGAAGCGAGCAGATTCGCAACGTGCTCGTCCGATCCACCAAAAGTCGGTTTTTGTGACGAACACAAAGGGATTCACTCGCACAGTTGGGACATTTTTTACTACTTCTCCGTGTTCGTAACGCGCCCGAATTGATCGGAGCACAAAACGAATACGCAATGATGTATTCGTGCTCGTTCTGTCAAAAGTGAACGAGCATTACATTATGTGTTCGGTTCGGATAATGTATACGCAGCTTAACGTTTACCATCCCTTTCCATTTAAATTGTTTGGGATGTCCCCCACAAAACTAAAATTGACATGTTCGAACGTTTGTGACAAAAATGAAGCGGCAATGTATGCATTCGTTTGGTTGTGAAAAGAATACGTATAAATATAGAATAAATTTCATATAAGTCAAACAAAAATATTATTTTATTTCCGCCATATAGCATCTTTATGAAAATTAAATAAAACAAAAGTAAGGTAGATACATTAAAATTGAGAGCTTTTGCATTTGTTTAAATTAAGATCAGGATTATTTGTCCTAACACGGTGATTATCAAATGATCAAATGGAGAGAACTTTTTCTATAGGTATTGGTTCAAAATTATTAATACTTCCTTTAGTTCATATTTGCCATAGGGACCAGAGACGTATCTAGGGCGGTCGGTGGAGCACGTGCCCTGGGCGCCGTTAAATCTCCAATTAGTCAATTCAAAAATCAAAATAAAACACAATAAACGACATCATATCAAACAATCCCATGGAATGAGTGGTGGGCGCAGGGTGCCAATGGAGGATATACTAGTTCGTTCGAATTCGACACTTGTACACGTGTAGTTTAATTATATTTAAAGTAAATCTGAGCAGCCCGCCTCCCAAATCTCTGTAGTCAGGGATATCGGATGAATGAAACACGATGACCAGTCGACGTCTGTTCCACATAGCGAAAAAGACTCCCTGGTCCTATTGTTCACCCATACTCGCTATTAGATTCCATGTACCTACCTACTCATAAATATCTTCCATGGTATTTGTTAAATCATCTTAAGGTTTACGTCCTGGGGTACCACTGGGCGCTGCTTGTGGACCTAGCATGTGGAATGATATTCTTTTTCAAATCAGCTGTAGAAATACGTCCAATCACCTGCCGCCCTGGTTATCACCTCTGCCCACAGCTTGCTAACGAGCTCCTAGCGAGTTTATAATTTTGCGAGTCTGTCCGTCCGTTAGCACGATAACTGATAAACGAATGGACCGATTACGATGAAATTTTGCAGGCGGATTCTTTATCAAATTTGTAGATCGGAGTTCGCGAATTGGTAATGTAGACCAAAATATAAAGTAGGCCCTTTTGACATCTCCGTTAGTTATGAACCGAACTA